TTTTGGTCAATTCAATGGACCCACCGTTTTTTTTGTGGGGATTTTAATGCACACCATGGACTTTGGGGCTACGCTGAAGATGATTCACAAATCAGGATTTTGGTGGAAGCCATGGAAAATCATAATTTAGTAATCCTTAATGATGGTAGTCCTACCCGAATAGTCAGCCCGCAGTATAATAATCCATTCTCGGCTGTAGATTTAACATTATCCTCACCATCAATAGCAGACATCATCAGAATGGATGTTTTGCCCGACACTATGGGATCAGATCACTTTCCAATCAAAATTACAATTCAATCAGCACCAAGCCAACATTTTGAATTCTTTCCATATACTCGATGGAACGAAAAACGCGCGGATTGGTCACTTTTTCAAAATACGCTAGAATCGAAGCTAACTGGCATATCAGATCTAGACAGTATATCAAACACCGATAAGTTCGACAAACTAATAAACTTAATTTCAGATGCTGCTGATATCACCATCCCTTTGAAAAAACCTTTTACCCATTCCAGTGCTCAACCAGTTTGGTGGGACGAGGAATGCACACATATATTTGAAAAACGAAAGGAACCTCTTGGTAATTATAAGCGGCGAGCAAGTTATTAAAATTTTGTTGAATACAAAAAATACGCAGCTCAGGTCAAAAGGCTATTTAAACAAAAACAAAGAGGAAGCTGAATGTCATTTTTAAATAAACTAAATCGGAGAACACCCATAAGCGAAATATGGAGATTTGTCAAATCAATAAATAAAAAGTCAGTTGCTAATAAAATTCCAGTAGAATGGTGTCTTAAAGAACGTAATAACACGTCTCCAGGAATAGATAAATTTACTAATGAGATTCTTTTTAACTTGCCTAAATCAGTCAAACTGTTATTCTTAAGAATTGTAAACGATTGGTGGACAAATCACAAGTTTTTAGAGGAACTCAAATCATTTGTCTCATTTTAAAACCATCGAAAGATGCTGGCCTAACTGATTCATACAGACCTATCTCACTTTTATCGTGTTTAGTTAAAACCTTTGAGCGCATGATAAAACTCAGATTAGAATATCTCATCGAAAGCAACAAACTATTCCCAGACTCCCAGTACAGTTTTAGAAGAGGTTGCGGAACATCAGAAGCGATAAGTCAACTAGTAAAGGATGTCCAATTATGTTTCGCCAGAAACCACTACCTTTTGTGCTGGTTTTTGGATTTGAAGGGAGCATATGACTCGGTAGATTTGGGAATACTTATGGAAAAGTTAATACAAAACAGTCTATCTAAAAAATCCTCAGCTAGCATAATCCAGTTATACAGGCTGTTTCAGTTTATTGTTGCATAACTTTAAGATTCGATAGAACTTTTAAAATTAATGCATAAAGTCTATATAAATAATGCGTGGCTTCCGAAATACAGGATGTTTAAATTTACTTTTTAAAATAGTTTTTTTCAAATATTTCGAACAATATTTGATGTATAACAGTGAAAATTGGAATACAAGGGTTTTTTGGTACGACAAAACGAACCATGGGCATAGTTTTACTGTAGCCGCTAGAGGGCGCTCTCTACTGTACCTGTAGTGTATTAAAATGACCGAAAAAATTTTCTTAGTGCAATTTTTTGCTTTTTGAACAAAAAAAACTGATTCTTCGCACGTTTCTGCATAAAAAAGCTCTCCTGTGAGTTGTCATTATAGTTGCCGTTTTTGAGATATTTCGATTTTTAAGGTTCGATGCATTTTTAATTATTTATGGGAAAATAATTCCTAACTCCAAATAAACACAAAAAACAGAATATTAATTTGTTTAATTTTCCAATATTATTTTTAACAAATTAAATTAATTATTTACAACTAAAATGCTATTGGATAGTAGTAGACAAACATACAAAATCTAAAGTAGCTGCTCGAAATGTAAACCCAATTCTTCAATACACAATTCACATCTACGAATGATCGAACGTGGTATAGCATTATTCAAATAAGGCCTTATTTCATCACATGCATTCCTGATTCTGTCTATTAGCATATCTCTTGTGGTTACGGGAGTCTGGTACACTTTTTCTTTTAGAAATCCCCACTCAAAGAAATCTAATGGATTTAGGTCAGGGGATCGTGGAGGCCAGGCGACTGGCTACAGTAAAACTATGCCCATGGTTCGTTTTTTCGTACCAAAAAACCCTTGTATACCAATTTTCACTGTTGTACATCAAATATTGTTCGAAATATTTAAAAAAAACTATTTTAGAAAGTAAATTTAAACACCCTGTATTTCGGAAGCCACGCATTTTTCGACCCATGTTTATATAGACTGCATTAATGCATTAATTTTAAAAGTTCTATCGAATCTTAAAGTTATGCAACAATAAACTGTGAAACACCCTGTAAATAAATAGACACATGTATATAAGAAATCATAGAAATGAGTTATTCGACCTCAGAATGATATACAACGGCCTTCCTCAAGGTTCAATTCTTAGTCCTATATTATTTAATATATATACAACTGACTTCCATGCCATTTTCGACAAGGAAATTCAAGTCATTCAATACGCCGATGATATATGTGTATACATTGCTCACAATTCATACCAGTACTGCCTCCAAAAGTTTGAACTCGTGGTAGAGAAAGTAAAAAATTGGTTGCTAGAGGTAAATCTCTAATTGGCTGTAGAGAAGTCTGCGATGATGTGTTTCACAAGACACAGAGTAGCACTTCCCAGCATATATTATATCAGTGGCCTTAGTATACCCGTGATTCAGAAATATAAAAATCTAGGAGTAGTGATGGATTGTAAGCTCACTTGGAGCAAGCATATTCAGTACTTAAAAACAAAAGCTGAAAAAGGGATAACATACTTAAGTGCACCACAAAGAAAAAGTGGGGATCAGATCCTAAAATAGCGCTTGTTTTTTACCAGTCTTACGTAAGGTCCGTATTGGATTATGGTTGTGTGCTGTATGGTTCCGCGGCTAAGTCTCACCTAACAAAAATTGACCGAATACAATATCAGGCCTTGAGAATTTGCATGGGAGTCATGAAATCAACACCATGTCCAGCAATCTTAGCTGAAGCAAGAGAACCTCCTCTTTCATTACGAAGAAGGTACTTTGCAGAGAAGGCCGTTGTCAAATACAGAACCTATAACGAATACTTGCTTAATAAGATATCACAATTAGTAACTGCCTATGGATAATCACCCATTATATGTCGGCCCTTATGAAGTATTCCTTAATGAAACAACCATCACAGTCCCTACATATACCGAAAACTGTTATTACAATAGGTCTGTTCTATCTGCCGTATCGGAAGATCTCAATTGCCACACTGTCGTCTATACCGACGGCTCCAAAAGTGAGATGGGTACTGGGTGCGCATTTTACTTTCCACAAAAAGATTGTTGCAAGGGATACCGGATTCCTGACCTGTGCTCCATATTTACAGCAGAAGCCTATGCAGTACTACAGGCAATTTCCTGGTGCCTTTCACAAAATATTAATTAAACAAAATCCTCCTAAATCATATGATAACTTTTTATTATACAAAATCAGAAACTTGCTCGTCACTTGTCAAGCCAAAAGAGAGATTTTGTGTCAAATGGACTCCAGTTTCCGATGCCATTATTTGACACACACACACACAAAAGAGCAAAGATAAACTTTCTTTGGGTAACAGGGCATGCTGGTACCAGAGGCAACGATATGGTTGATAAAGTTGCAAAAAATGCAATTAACTACAGTACGATTACTGATGTGCCACTTTTTTCTGATTTATTCATAGAGATCTTTCTTATCGTCTCTCAAAATGATCAGATAATGTAAATCCATTAACAAAATTTTGTGGCAAATGGACTCCAGTTTCCGATGTCATTATTTGACACATACACTCACACTATAGAAACCAATACATTTCCTGATATTTGGAAACTTTCTAGAGCAACACCTATTTTCAAATTAGGGGATAATACTGACATTAAAAACTATAGAGCCGTGACAATATTGTCAAATTTCTCCAAATTGCTGGAGATAATATTGCATAATAGAATTTACTCCGCAGTTCATAGATCTGTCCCCTTTTCAGCATGGTTTTCATACTAAGAGATCCACAGTAACTAATTTAACAAACTTCACTCAGTTCGCTATTTAATGTGTCGATCGGCAAGGTCAACTATGTAGTATATACGGATTTTGCTAAATAGTTCGATAGGGTGGACCATGGTAAACTTTTAGATAAACTTTTTTATTATGGATTCCATTCATCAGCTTTAGGACTCATTCAAACTTAACTTCGTTTCAAACAAAATACTTGGTTGCCACGTTTTCGGGATGTTCGTGTACTTTTCAGGTGTTACAGCAGGAAATGTTGATTGAGCCAGTTATAACCGTTTGACCTCATGTATGGAAATGCATTTTGATATAAAATCGCAGATCGATACGAATCTGTTGTCAAAAAAGTGGTTGCTATTTAAATTTACAAAGTTGACCTCCAAATGACCTCTGAGGTCAATGACTCTCGACGGCGGCATAGGTTTTCCTACATTTGGCAACCCTGTAAGAGCTATCAACGCAACCGCCAGTGGAGATCTCATATTTTCACAATGAGTTTCACATACACTCGCAAACAAAAATGAATCTGATTCTATGGTACAGTAAGTCAAAAGTGAAGTTTGCGCAGTTTGTCTTTACGTACCTTGACAAACCTTTTTTTAAGTATGACACATGACCCTAAGCTTCAATGGAAAAGCCACATTGATTTGTTGATCCAAAATGCCTTTTATTAAAATTGATGATTTTCTAAATACTGATTTTAACGTGTTGTGATAGTTCAAAACTTTTAAGTGTGATATACCAGTTGTGTTATGACTATTGTAAACAGTTTTTTGCATTAGCATGCATAAATGAAGTGACGTTTTACTGAAAAAACTACACGCTTTGGCATCTAGGAGAGGGGGCGCCCCCTCTAAATCCGTCAAGACAGCTGAATTTAATCATCGTATTTGCGACTCTTACCCTTTATAAGCAGCATTATGTGTTGGTGTTTTCCCCGAATTATCTCTTTCGTTCAAATCAACGCCGATCTGTACAAATTTCCTACCACATTCGACATAACCAGATAAGCAGCACATGTGTAGTGGAGTTCTTCCCTCAAATCTGTCGACAAATAAAAAATAGTGTGTTAACCATCTTTCGACATAACAGTCTTAAAAAATGTTTTGTGAACGAAAAATACTCCATTAAATATCCCACCCTTCAATTTTCACAGTATGTACAAAATTTAAAGAAATTATAAGTAGATACCTAACATATTGGCTACAAAGTCAAATTGCAGAAATTATTAATTATACAAAATACTAATAGGTTAAATCTTCTTGTTCAATCAATGGTGCATTTAACCAAACCCACTAATGGCTAGAGCGTAAAGGCGTGTTCATGACACATAACGATACTAAACACTTTTAACAACCATCAACGAGCTGTTGTGAAAATTATAGAATTGTGTCAGAATCTACTTGGAGCACCTAGAGATTATGCTGTGATCCAGCACCGTTCGGATTTTATCTGTCCCCTACGGCAGACTAATGTATGGTTACATAGGTGATCCAAATAATGTCCACTATTTTGTATACTTATGGTACAATGTATTATTGCTATAGCAAGATAATTTACCCTTTTCTAGACGGATGAGCGCCAAATTCAAGCAATGTGTTAGCTAACAGATCATGACCATACGAAGCTGCGATATGTAACGGTGTACAGTAGTTCTTATCTTTGACATCTACTAAGGCACCTATAACGGAAACAAAAAAGACAGGTTAATGCAGTTCACACTACGGAAGCAATGAAAAGAAACTGTATGTTTTATTCAAAACGAATAATGTGTCACCAAGAAAATACAGATCAAAAGACAGATCAAAACGCTTGAAGACATTTTGAAGTATGAACACAAACAGATCGCTGTGAACGTCTCACTTGGTTGTATTGATCATCCTAATACTTATTCCATAACACCTTACAATGTTCTGTTGCAGATCAGGCGCCACCCTAAAATTTCAGTTTTGCCGACAGTTGCGGAATCCTTACATCCATAGTGCTCTCGAACATTTGAAAATAGATGTTAATGCTGAGCATATACGTTCCTTATAGCATCTGACATAACGAATTGCAAGCGGAAAACTACTTGTGCAACTGTATCGTACCTTTGTCAAGTAAAGCCTTGCTTCTGGTGAATCGTCCATGCAAAACAGTTGCGTGCAACGGGGTCCGTCCGTCCGCATCTCTGGCATCCACATCTACGCCCCTAGTCTCAAGCAGGGTATCCAAGCAGTCAGCAGCCCTGGCAGCAGGAGAAGCGGCCGCTAGATGAAGTGGAGCCCTGCCTCGGTTGTTTCGTGCCTCTACTGGGGCCCCAGCATTGCACAAAGTGTGAACAGCTGCAGAGTTTCCACATAGACAGGCCACATGCAATGCGGTGTTGCCATTTAGGTCTGCCAGAGTTAGGTCCGCACCGCTCACTAACAACTGCTGGCACATGTACTCGGATCCTACGAGAGATGAACGTACGAAAGCTTCAAAGGAAAAACAATATAAAGGTCTTATGAAACATTTTTTTTAAATCGATCCAAACTTTACGTATACTAGTATCATAAATTGACCACTAATAAAGTGAAACGTATATTGAAACATCATCTATGATGCAATTAGGCGTTAAGCTTATTGAATTAAGGAAACCAATGGAATCTACAGGAATTTCACGTCCAAAAGATGGGATCTCAGTGGCGCCTGCCTATGGTATCTCAGTCCTTCACGGAGTGCAAAAGTGGCATCCACGCCACTCGAATTAGACTCCACCAGCAAAATTAGGTTGTTTCTATCGAAAAATGTCGTCTCTTGGTATCAGACTGCAAACGAAAAATGCAGATCTATTTTAGGAAACGTTGCCTTGAAATCCCATGTTGTCTAAGCATTTAAGCAGACAATCGTTGAAGTTAGTTCAGAACCAACAAATAATTCTCTTAGAAATGGATCTGTTATATCCTTGCCAAATACCCCAGCGTGACCATGTAGCCAAATAAATGAGGCACGATGCTTTAGGCTTATAGAACTGTTAGGCAGAATTTATTAGCTTACTTACCACATGCGGCCGCTACATGGAGTGGTGTGTAATGATTCCTATCCTTGGCATTCACATCTGCTTCGTATCTTAATAGTAGTTCCATTGTATCAATTTGTCCTATCTGCACGGCAAAATGCAAAGCCCTAAAAATATTATATCCCAATGAGGTGAAGTGGTATGGATAAGCCGACTTACAAAACACGCTGTTCTTATAAATTGAGATTTGTAAATAGGGAAAAGTCGGATCGTTAACATAGCTAAACGGGTTGACTGTCATAGCAGTAATAGATGAAGTTACAATGCCTCTTAAGTAGCGATGGAGGAAGTAACCAATAATTTGAGATGTCGCAGACTCTTTTGTCAAGAATGCAGGTGAACCACAAGCTTTTCCTATAGTTATTACTTGACAGTTGGCTTGAAATATGAGATAGTAAAAATAGAAAGGAAAACTAGCCACATTGGAATTTTAACTCACCACCTCCCGAATTCTAGGCAAACGTTTGAATCACTCAGTCACGGCGATCCCATTAGACTAGTGAAATAAGCGAATACAACTAGCGACTCACAAAAAATCACACATATTACTCAAGAAGGAATATACTTTTCTAATGAATCAGTAAAACAACACTAAAAATATATATTAGCATAATCTATGATGGATGAAAACAAAAATTTTTTTCAGCATTAACTGATAGCAGCCGATAGTACTTCATAAATATCCGCAACTGAAAATAGCCTCTCAGTGATTAATCTTAACAGGCGATGATAAACAAATCTTCGCGAATCCTTGGAGACTGTTTTACGTTTACTGAACACCGCTTATAACGGTCTGCTGTCTGATCTAGAACTGTTTTACTTCTCACGCCTATTGGCGAGGAAGTATTGTAAACGCGAAAATTTTCGAAAATAAGATATATTTTTTGGATGTTATATGACATGTACACCACGAAAAATCATGTCACTCATTTCCGTCGGTCTGTCTACCCGCTAACCCTTGACCCGTCTATAACTTGGAAGTACCGCTCGGATTTTAATGAAATTTTCACAATAGTAAGGACGAAAAACCTTTGTATTTTTGAAAATCGGTCCAGTGGCGGTAACGTGCAGGACAAAAAACGAAAAAAATTAACATGGCTCAAACTTCGTCTTTTGACGTTTCATAGGCTCCTGATCACTTTCAGAAACAAATTTGTATATGGGCTAGGGGAGTGTACATCTCATTTTTTGGCTGCAATATATTTATACGCTTCAGACCCCGGTAATTTTAAGCACCTGTTTGTACATATTTCAGACATCATAGATTTACCCGTACATTTGCCCTTAAAACGCGGTTTGTCGGGACGATGGCAACCTTTATGCGGTAGAGTACCATTGCCAAATGTCAATACTTAGGACAGGGAAGAAACTAACGTTAGCATTATTAAATAGGTGGGCAGCATAGACTAAATATATGGGCGTAATGGCTGACTTGATCCATTTAATTTATATGTCCTACATCTTTGTAGCTAGCTAAGAACTGAACGTAAACCTTTATGAAATAATGACAACGTTGTTACTTGACGCCATTTCTTAGAAAATAATCTCATCCTTATAGCTCAAATATAAGTGGTGTGCCAATTAAATTCTGGGAATGCAGTAATAACCTGAGGTCTGGCAACACTGCGTCACCTGTCAACTTCTGCCCGGCAAAAGTGCCCTCTTTTTGAGTTACACTCCAAAACTGAAGTCGATTATCCGTGTGGTTTGAATTTTGTGGATGTTTTTTGAAGGAAAGGTTTTTAGTGGCGTCGTGAAAATGAGTGACTCACATTACAAGCAATGTGTTGTGATCCGATTTTTAGTGAAATCAGGCGAAAAACTCTCGGAAATCTTCCGAAAATTGCAGGTGGTGTATAAAGACAAGTGTATGTCGAAAACACGCGTGTTTGAATGGGCAAACGGTTCAAAGAGGGGCGTGAATCAGTAATGATCCACGTGAAGGGGCTCCCGTAACCTCTCGTACCGACGCAAATGTCGACCGTTTGCGCGCTCTAACATCTGACCGGCGCCTAAGCATTCGTTTATTATCTGACGAGCTAAATATGAACAAAGAAACCGTCCGCCAAATGGATCTTGCACCACGATAACGCATCGGCCCATGCCTCGTTGATTGTGCAACAGTTTTTGGCAAGAAAGGGCATTTCAACGATGCCCCACTCACCCTATAGCCCCGATATTGCACTCTGCGACTTCTATTTCCTAAAATGATGGAAATGATGATGAAAATTTAAATGCGTTTGTTGGGACGAGCATTACCTTTCACCACATGTGTGGCGATAAAAACCTTTTTGAGTCATTATTAGAGGTCAAGCCCTAATAAAGTTATTGTTGGTGATGGGGACATGCTTGAAGTTCGTGGTGTAGGCACTGTTGTGCTATATGCTTTAGTTGGAAAGGAAATTAGAAAAACTGTACTGTCTAATGTATTGTACGTCCCATACCTGAAGTATAATTTGTTCTCAGCAGGCTATGTTTTGGGTAAAGGTTTACATCTAGTGTCAAATAATGAACAATGTCAGTTTATTGATGATAGAGGAAAAGTTTGTGCAACAGCAACACGTGCTAATAAACTGTATAGAATGAATTTTATAAACAACAAAGCTGGTAGTGCTAGTCTATCAGTATTTGATACAAATGACAAATTTGATTTTATGAGTTGTCATTCGAGTAAAAAAGTAGAAAAAGTATCTGTCATAAAAAGCTGGCACAGCAACATTTGGATCACATCAAACATGTGCTGAGGAGAAATAACAAATTATATAGATGATAGCCAGAATTTTGTATGTAAAAAGTGTTTGACAGGAAAACAGCATCGTATACCATTCCCAGTTTGTGAATCGAGGGCATCTACACAACTTGAGTTAGTACATGCTGATATTTGTGGACCCATGGAGCAGGTGTCATTGGCTGGAGCTCGATATTTTCTGTTGTTCAAAGATGATTTCTAAGCATATCGGTATGTATACTTTTTGAAACATAAATCCGAAACGAAAAGCTGTTTTGTTAAACATATAGCACGTGTGGAAAGAGAAACTGGACATAAACTTAAAACCCTTAGAACTGATAATGGACTAGAATTTATGAATCAAGATTTGAAAAGATTGATGGAAGAAAAAGGTATAATTCATCAAAGAAGTGTTGTATACCCACCTCAACAGAATGGACAAGCAAAAAGAGAAATGCGTACCTTAGTAGAAGCTGCTCGTACAATGTTAAATTCGATGCACAAAAGTTTTGGGCTGAAGCCGTGAATACAGCTTGTTATACATTAATAGAACAAGTCTTAGCCCAGGAAAACATATTTCACCTTATGAAGCTTATTACAAGAAAAGTGTGGAATTTGATTTATTTAAAGAATTTGGGTGTAGAATATCAGCACATATCCCTAAGAAAAAGGTTTGAAATGGGATTCAAAGAGTATTGAAGTAGATGAAAATGAACTCCATGAGAGAACTTAGTTAGCAAGCAGCGAAAGAGGCATTACAGAAAATGAGACAAGTCAAAGCCACACAAGAGAGATAAGAGATAGAAAGAAATTAAAGCCACCTACAAGATTTGATGATTACCATGTCAGTTTGCTGACATTAAGCAATGAAGAGCCAGCAACCTGTGAGGAAGCAATGTCAGGTGAAGAACAGAAAGAATGGAAGAAAGCAATAGAGACAGAGAAGCAAGCTTTAGTTGAAAATCAAACTTGGATTTGTGTGGAGAAACCAGATAACTTCAAGGTAATAGATTGTAAATGGGTATTCAAGAAAAAGAAAAATGAAAATGGACAGATTACTACTTATAAAGCGAGGCTTGTAGCAAGAGCTTTTCAGCAGTGTGAGGTAGATACTTTCAATATATAAAGTCCTGTAGCAAGATTAACTACTTTAAGGGTACTTCTAGCTTTTTGTAATTACATATCATAGTATACCTATTTTTCAGCTATATGTATGTAGCACCTTCTTATATGGAGATGTTGTAGGCAACATATTTATTTACTTACCTGATGGTTGTCAAGATTTGGAACCATCTGATACGAAACATATTTTGAAACTGAAGAAGTCTTTGTATGGGTTAAAAGAATCGCCAAGAAGTTGGAACAAAAGGTTTCATGCAACTATGCTAGCGTCAGGTTTCAAACAATCGGAGAATGATTATTGTTTATATATAAAAGACAGTAAGGACAGTAAAACCTATATATTACTATTTGTTGATGATTTACTTGTTGCATCTTTAAACCACATCGAAGTGAAAGCTATACAGTCAAAGTTGAGTAGTTATTTCAAAAATGAAAGACTTAGGTGTTTTACGTTACTTTCTAGGAATGTTAATTATTCAAGATTTGAAAACAAATACTACTGTTTTGAGTCAGAAAACCTATTTAGAAAGTATACTAGAGAAATTTGATATGAAGCATTGTACTTTACCTTTGTCAACCCGCATGCAAGAAAATTTTGATCACAGCATTCTAAAGATAGACAAATCTGAAAGATTCTTGAAAGAAAGTGTAGAGTGCTCATTGGCTCTCTTATCTATGCAATGTTATGTACAAGACCTGATCTATGTTTGTCACTTAGCATATTAAGTAGATATCAATCATGTGGTTGTGGGTTGCTTTGGAACATGTATTGAGATATGTAAAGGAACTTTGAACGTGTGTTTAATATTCGAGAAAAGTACTATTGTTGAAAATCGTATTATTGGATATATTGATTCAGATTGGGCAGGTGACAGAGTTGATAGGAAATCAACTAGTGGTTTTGCTTTTAGAGTTTACTACGGTACTGTCTCACGGAGCTCACGAAAACAGTCAACAGTAGCTCTGTCATCCACTGAATCTGTATATGTAGTTTTAAGTATGGCCACAACTTTTTGGCTCAAAAATCTTTGAGTGAGTGCAGTAATAGTGAAAATTTGTGAGGACAATCAGTCAGTGATAAAGTTATGTAATAACCGACAGTTTTATTATAAGTTAAAACATGTAGACATAACAGTACATTTTGTTAGAGATAAGATCTTTTCGAAAGTTGTTTATGTTGAATATGTAAGCACTCAGGATCAGTTGGCAGATGTATTCACAAAGCCACTTGGTAGAATCAAGTTTAACAGGTTTTGT